GGGGGCCTCAAGCATGCCTGCATCCTAGTGTGGTTAGTGGATCCTGCATAGAGAGCTGCTGAGAGTTTGCAAGTCTGTGTAGCCTGTTCTGGGTTTAGCAGCATCTGGAGCTTCTGGAGATCCCTGTGCTGGGTGCCACATGAGCAGCTGGAGCTCTATCCAGCTGGTGAGGTCGAGCACAGCTCTGCTCCGTGGTCAGTGCTGATCCCTGGGGACAGGGATCTGGGGACAGTAGGGAGACACTGAGGACAGTGCCTGGTAATGTATTGATGCCAGCACTTCTCCAGTGCCCTAAGCCAGGTCCTGTGCTGCAGGTCGTTTTGATCCCTGGTTTCCTAACTGGTTTCAGATCTGCCCCTCCTAAGAGATGTAAGAATGGAAGATGAGGTCCTGTCTCTTCCCTCTAGGCTGCCCAAATGCTGATCTACCTCACAGCCATCCTACTGTAACGACCTTCTCCCCACACTGCCCCCATCCAGGCCTGGCGGAAACACTCACTCCATCTTCCCAATCTCTTGTTCTCCCTCTCCTTCCCTGCCTGGGGCCATCTGCCAAGTTCTGCCCATTTCCCCACGCCAACGTACTTGAGGCTGCCTACCTCTGTCTTCCCATGCTATGTGCAGCTGCATTTCCCTCTGCTAGCTACTCCGTGCCCTGTTTGTCTCCTGTGGGCATCTCGTGACTTCTGCATTCAAGGCAAGGTGTGCTCCCAAATCTCTCCCCAAGCCCCTTTCACCCTGTTCATCATAGCAACTGCAGCTGGCCACAGCTGCCTGAGCTGAGCACTAGGTGGGCTGAGCCAGGCACAGAGGTGGCACCCAGCCAAGGGTACCTCTGTGTAAGGAAGGCTAGGAGACACCCTGCCCCATCCATGGGAAGCCCAGGGGCCCCTCAAGCACTGCCCCGCATAGGCAGCTCATCTAACGCCTCTCTCCATGCTGTCTCAGCTGTGAAGGAAGCAGCCGTGCAGAGGAAGCACAACTTGTACCGCGACAGCATGGTGATGCACAACAGCGATCCCAACCTCCACTTGCTGGGCGAGGGCATCCCCATTGACTGGGGAGAGGAGTACAGCAGCCAGCCTGACACCGAGCCGGCCACCGATAAGCGCCGCAGGGTGAAGCAAGTGGTGTCGGTCATCCAAGATGATGAGGGGGCCCTGCCGTATGAGTCAGGCACCGAGGCACTAATGCATCAGACCTCCCAGGAGGAGCAAGAGCCAGAAAAGCCAGACCCTCAGGCAACACCAGGCTCTCCTGACAGCGTGAAGGAGATCCAGGAAATGCTGGAGAAGGAGGTTCTCAAGGAACCTGCAGGCCCTGCTGGTGTCGAGGCAGAGGAACAGCTGACGAACGGTACAGTCGTCACTCAGGAGAGCGGTGCCTCCAAGGATTCAGCAGTGGAAGGGTCCCAGGAAACCACCTCCGTGGAGAGCTCTGCCCCTCATAACGCCACCCCCCAGGGCCCGGCCAGCACAGGAACAGGGGTGCACCACACCGCACCAGCAGCACCCGTGTCCCTCGTTGAGCCCTCTCCCTTGGCAGCAGAGCACCAGGCCAATGTGGATAGCCACAAACCCAGCGACAAGGAGACAGGAGAGGAGGTATCATCACCGGACAGCAAGGCCAGTCCGGAGCCCACTGAGCCAGCCACTGCAGGCAGCGTGGGCACAACGGAGAGTGGCGAGGCAGTGCAGACTGAGTTCTAGCCCGGCTGCCCCTGCACGGGCATGTCCCGGGGTGCCAAGGGTGGACTGGCCTCGGTGACGCCGGGGGCTTGGGGGGAGGGTGGGGATGCTTGTAGGCTGGTCCGACCGCGGCGCTAGGACCTACTGCGTTCTTGGGGTTGGAGCCCAGCGCTCTGGGAGAGGGAGGGGATGGGAAACACCAAGACATTATTGCCTAACTGGGGAGGGAGTCTCCGCTGCTGTGTGTTGCTGGCCAGAACTAAGTGGTCTTACTGGGTCGGACTCGGGGATTCTCCCCAGAGGCCCCCAGCTCAATATAGGGCACCCTCTGCACTCTGCTCTGTCCTTCTGTGTTATTTTCTTTTTTTCTACTGCAGAGATGCTTCTCCACATCCCTTGACTGAGCCCCAGTGCCAGGGGCTGCCAGGAGGTGGGAGCGAGACCCACTTTGGCAGCAGGATGGGAGCCTGGGGCTGGACTGGGTTTGCAGGGTGCTGCTCAGGCGCCCAGTGTCTCGCTCTGGCCTGCCACACGGTCTGCCTGGCAGGCCATGCCCTGGCCAGGCCAGACCTGTTCCTCGCCCCAGGATGGGCAGGAGTGCCCCGTCGCAGCCGTGCACCACTGCAGTGGGGGAGAGCCCTTTGGCTCTTCCCCTGCCCAAATCTGTGGGGTTATCCTGGGAGCCTCCCTGCACCAGCAGCCTGGTGGGGATGCTCCCAGACCCAGCTAGCTGGGGAGCATTCAAGCACCAGCACCCAAACGAGGACATTTTACAGAATATTTCTTTTTCCCTTAAATAGCGCTGAAAGGAGAGAGGGCTGCAGGAGGTAGATGAAAAGTCTGACAGAGGGATCTGCGGATGCTGATAGGGTAGTGAGAGGCTTTGTGGAGAGCGATCAGGGGAGACAAAAGGTCTGGTGGGAGCATGGAGAAGGACAACGGAAGTGTGGGCCAGTGGGAGGATTGTGTCCGGTGGCTGCTGGTGAAACAGCAACGCTTGCAAGCTTTAATTACTGCTCTAGGGGCAACGCGGGAGGCAGCTGGGCCACTTCTCCGTGGATGATATCGTGGCTCTTGTCCGGTGGAGCTCCTTATCACCTTGCAAAGATGAATTTCTCTTGGGCCCTCTGTCTTGCAGGTTTGGCATCTGTGGAGGCATTTGGGCAAAGATGTGGTGCCTTTATCAGAGGTTTGTTTGGGGAAGCATTTGCGAGGCAGCCAGCTCTGGTGCCCCACAGCATTTGGGGAGCCCAAACAGAGCTAGCCAGTAGTTTTTATAGGATTGGGCCAGTGACCCCTCTGTGTGGGCAAAGCTTGTACTGCACTCTGCCCTTTGGGGACTTCACACAGGAGAAATGTCCTCCAACTGCAGAGAGGAAAAAAAAGAGTTTGTGCCTGGAAAGGGTTATCAGGCCAGTCCAGTTGCAAGTGGGGCATTGCAGGGAGCAGGTCTGCCCCCAGAGGAGCTTGCCCCAGGGCTGCTGCCAAGGGCAAGATTCAGAGGTGGGGGAAGGAGGGAGGCTATTCCGACACAAGCATGTGCGAGGTAGTTGATGGGACTTGGCAAGGCTCGGGAGTGGGCTGCTGAGACTATGGTTGTGTGTGCGGAGTATGGACTGGGAGCCCGGCTCTTCCTCCCGTGCTGCAGATAATCTCAACTTCTGTGTGTATTTTAAGTGCCATTGTATCTGTCTTTGAATGGGGGACGCCCAGACTAAACCACTTAGGGAGGCCCCCCCAAAGTGCCTTGCTTTGGGAACTTAAAAACCTGTCTCTTCTAAGATATTTTATTAAGAATGTTATACAAATGTTTAAAAATATGCTTATAATAATTAATAAAATGAAAAAAAAGCTTTATTTAAAGTCAGAGGAGACTACTTGTTCCTGAACGGCTCGCTCCTGGCGCAGGGCCTGCGTGCAGGTCTGCGAGATGGAGAAACAGGGTTGGGGCTGGTGTTCGGGGCAGGTCCTGTGGCTCCGGCACTCATGCAAGACCCAGCCAAGGGCAAATGGGGCCATTTTTGCATGGGGCTCTGTGACAGACGGAGGCAGAGTCCCAAAGGCTGCCTGGAGCACGGGGGTTGAGGCCAGGAGCCCCTGTGCACTGTGCAATGGTTGCCCTTCATGCAAGGCATCAGCTATGGGCCTTGGTGGTGGGACCCATGAGGGAGGGGGTGGCTCCTCGGACCCTGTCCAGGTGTGGGGTGAGTTTGGCAGCGGAGGACCCTCACTGGGGGGATGTGGCTGGGGACAGCATCGCCCGGGTACTGTGTCGCATCTCTGTGGTGTCCCTGCAGCACCTCTGGAGGTGACATCCATGCAGCATGAATACAAAGTAGGAGCCAAAGTGTTGAGATGCTTTTATTAAAACAGGCATCTCTAGAAAGAAGCAAGATGCACCCATCAGGAGTCTGTTGCATCAGCATCACCATACTGAATGCATCGGTGCAGATGGATGCACTAGAGACAGCAGCTCATCTTCGGCTACATTGACCTGATCCCTGAAGTGCTAAAAGTGCAGAGGTGAGTTGGGGTCCACCCATGTCTCTGCCTGCAGTGCTATATGCATCTGGGCATGCTTGTGCATGGCTTGTTCTCTGGGACTGCAAAAGGCACAGTGTGAAGGGGGTTGGAGGCAGGACTGCTCTGCACAGGGGGGATGCTGGCATGCCATAACCCCTCACCTGCTTCTCCCCAAAGCTTCTCCTTCCCTGAGCATTTTATAAAGATAAACCGAGCATCCAAGAGCCAGCCAGAACCAAACCCCCTCAGAAGGGGGGCGGGGGAAGGGTGATGCCCAGCTCCCCCAACTGCACTCATCATCTGCTCAACCTGCACCCTGAGCTGCAGCTGCTCCCTTTATCCCACAGCTAAAGGTCCCTGAGATGGGGACAGCCATGGCCATGTGGCCAAGGACGGCATGGGTGGTGGAGTGTGGCAGTGCAGCAGAGCAGTGACAGGCAGTTCAGTTAGGATTTTTTCTCCCCCTGAGTCTCCCTCCCCACCTCAATCCTGCCGGCAGCAAGGGTTGCAGTGGGAGGTCCTTGGGCTGCTGTTCTGCACAGCAAGGGGATAAGGACAGACCCAGAAAAAGTGACAGCAGCTATTTAAGAAAAGTAGAAGACAAGACGTCACGTTTCCTCTTGACCTCAGCTCAACTTGCCGTGGTGGAGGCCTTGAGCATGTCCTCCAGCTTCTTCAGCCGCATTCCCAGCAGAAGGGCTGCCTCCCCACAGTGGTGGCACAAGGATGGGTCCCAGCCCATCTAGCCCACGTTGAGCAGTGGGAACACCACGAAGTAACCAAGCGCAGAGCCCACGATCACCCCGAGGAAGATCCAGGCGTTGTATGACATGACAGCCAGCATCACCATGTAACCCACCACCACCTGTATCACGTGCAGCAGCGTCTGGCTGACATGGTACAGAAACCACCTGTTTGGGGAGGAAGCAAAGCTCTGTTAGCAAGGGGACAGCTAGCAGCCCTGACTGCCTGGGAGGCTGTTTGCAGTGTGCAGAGAGGGATCAGGGTCCCCAGAACCAAACTATGAGACCGCAGAGGGCAGTGCAAATAGAAATCCATTTCTAAAGGCTGAATTAATGAGCAGCATGTTATTAACGAGCTGGCCCTCAGGCATGGTCTGAGATTCACTATAAAATGAAAAACCCAGGCCTTGACTCAAACAGCTTGCACTGGAAAGGAGACTCCTGGGCCAGCCTTGCTTGGCGTGCCTGAGCCAATGTACCGGCACAAGAGCGCCCGTCCCCATGCCACACAGACACAGTGCTCCTGTCCTTCCCACTGTGCCCACAGTGGCTGCTGAGGAGCTATGAGTATTTAATACAGCAGAAAAATTCCTGGGGTGCCTTCCCCTGTGTCAGTGTCTGAAAGAGCTGGGACGCTCCTTCAGGACAAGATGAGACTATAGAGATACTTCCTTTCCGGGAGGGTATTACTCCATAGGTGCCATCTCCAACTCGACGTGGCAGCTCTCTCCCCTCTAAAGCCCTTTGGCCCCTGCCCATGGGACTGCTAGCAAGGCAAAAACCCACTCCCAGGCATGTGGTACCTGCCCTGCGCAGTGTCGTGCTGCCCCCAGCTGGTGTCATCGGCCCCCTCGTCCCGCTCTGCCAAGGACTCCTGGCTGAGGCTGCGCGGGATGGCCAGCATTGTCCGATGCAGCACCTTGGCCTTGCCAATCTTCACTGTTTCATAAAGCACAGAGAGCAGCAGGATGACCAGCACAGAAAGCACCATCCCTGCAAGAGAAAAACCCCTCGGCTACCCATTGCCAGCTGGATGGAGGCTGGAAGGTGAGTTTGAGGGAATGCAGCAGAGCGCGCTGGCTCTGGTAGCCTGGTCCTTCAAACATACGGTGTGACAGGTCCCTCCCATGCAGTGCTGTGGGGCGAAGGGGCTGGGAGGTCCAGGGTCTGGCACTGAGCACTTGGGTAAGTTGTTGGGTAGGATGGAGGAGATGGAGGCACCTAGAGCACTCTTGAGATCAGGGAGCAATGGGCAGCAGGTTTGTAGTGCTGGAAACTAGTGGATTCAGCCAAATCAAGCCACCACCCCTTCCCTTTCTAAAATGTATTTGGAGAGAAGGCTGTTCTGGAAAAAAAAACAAAATATCTTTCTATAAACGCAGCACAAATGCTGGGGTTAAAACATGACTTTAGGAGAAAAGTTTTTTTTAAAAAAAAAGGACAAAAGGAAACGAAGCTGAGACTTTCTTACGTCACTGAGTGAATGGGAGAGTTGGTTTCAAAGCTTAATTTGGGTCTTGGAGCAGACAAGCTAACCAACATCATTATTTTCTCCAAAAAGAACAGTTTCGTCTCAGCTGAAAATTCATTTTTCATTAGAAAAAAGACTGCATACATTTTTGTAGAGAGGAGGGTTTCTTGTTCATTCGGGGCTTTGCAGGACTGGGCCTGCAGTTCTGAGTAACGTTTCGCGCCATCCCGACACACCGGGGAGCGCCTGTCATGATCCCTCCAAGGGGCAGGCAGGGCTTCTCGCAGCGGGCAGCGCCCACCAGCCTGTAACGGCAGAGAGAGAGAGAGAGAGAGCTCTTTCACGCAAGAGCCAAGGGCTAGTTTGTAAGGAGGAGCAGGTTTGAGGGGGGTTTTTTTGCAGCTGGAAGGTGTGGAGGACATCCTTCCCACACCTCTGTGCTTACTCAGCGTGGGAAAATCAAAACCAGCCCCAGGACTTCTTAAAACCCAACGGGGGAGAGGGGCTTTGGACGTGCACCCACCTGGATAAGAGGACGCCTGTTAGCCCAGCCCATTCTCCTGTTTCCTCCTCCCCTTGCAGGGACACCTACGAACACCTGCCCCAACCTCCCCGAGCAGCAAGTGCCCCAGCAGTTGGCACTGGGCTGTGGGGGCCCTTCCTTTTCCTTGTCCCCCACCCATCAGCTACAACATTGCTTGATCCTGTTTCTAATATTAGGACTGCAAGAAATGGTAAATAATTGTTCATTAGTGCACCACGCACCCTTTTGCAGGTCCCTGCTCTTTGCCTTCCCTTGCTGGGCGATGGCTGGCAGCAGCCAGGAGGGACCTTTCTTGCTTGCTGGGATCCCAGAGTCATTTCTCCCTCTCCACTAATGAGCATTGCTGATGGACACGGTGGACAGCCTAGGTGGGCTCCTGGGGGAGTTGGCTGGGACAGAGGGAGCGCTCCAGAGCTAACGGACGAGTGCTGGACACGCAGACCCTCCGAGATGCTCTCAAACCTCAGGACCCAGGAACAGGCTCTCATGGACCCCGTGACCCGCCACCATGGGGAGCGGCTGCTGCTGCTCTGGCTCTCGCAGCCTACCTGCAGGGCTATGGACACTCCAAAAATCAAACAGTAGCACCACCTTGTCCGAGAAGAAGAAGGACATCTGGAAGAGATATGGAGAAAAGGTAACGCTAGCAATAAGGCTCAGGGTGATGGAGGAGCAGTGGTGTCCCCCTCCTCTGGCACTTCTGAACCCCCCGCTCTAGACACATGGTGTGAGCACGCTCATCAGCAGATGTGGTGCAGCAGCTTTTTTGAATCTAAAAGAAAACACGAGGGTTTTGTATCAGTAGAGGGAGGTGCTGGCTTATCCACAGCTGGGCTACTGGACTGGAAAGGCACCTGAAGGCCCAGCAGGCTCTGGGCTGTAGCTGGATTTCCTCACCAGCAGCTGTTTCCACTCCGCTAAATGTGTCACCATGCTGTGCTCTGCACATGGGCAGCAGAGCCACTAAGTGAGTTCCTTACTATCGCCAGAGACTGGGGAAAATAAGGACCTGTGTCTGAGTCTCCTGTCTCTTCAGCTGGTCAATGCCATCATCACCCCACTGTTCTCCAAGGGTTGTTGTGCTGGCTTATGCGGCTGCCTGCCCCCATATGTTGATCTGAGACTGGCACCTTACATGCCTTACGGGCTTGCAAGCGACTTATGGTGAAAGACAGAGAGACTTGGAGCAACATGCACAAACCCTGGGATTTGGGAGCCTCTATTCATCCATGCCAACCTGGCCCTAACCCTACCAGGAATGGGAGTTTCTCTACCAGGAAATGCAGTGCTACGATGCTGCTTTCTAAGCCCAGAGCGTGGCAACCTCATGTGAGGCGGCCCCTTAACTATATAGTTAAAAGTGAACCAAGAACTACCTGTGAGCCAGGTAGTGGATGTGGTGCCCCACACTAGAAGAAAATGGCCAAGCAACACTACCACTGTCTGCCCTCCTTCTGCAGCTTTGGCTTCCCCACCCAGGGACCGGCCCTTTTCATGTTCACAAACTACATGAAGAACGTGCAACTTCTGCTGGATCACAGTGCAAGGTTTCTTCTTTTTTTTTCTCCTTTTTCTTTTAAATGAGGCTTGCTTCTTTGAGCTGAGAACTTCAAAGGGCAAATTCCAGCGCTGCTCGGCTTTGAGCTGCACGTGGTCTCAGAGAGCACCTGAGGCTTCAGTGCTGCCTCGTGGACATGAGCGTTAGGGGGCACACTGGGCTATCAGGGGGTGTTGGAAACCAGTGGCTCTTTCTTACAGCCGTGGCATCCCACTGCAAAAAGCCATGCCTAGACAGATCACTGTAATGCGCTGCGCATGGGGAATGTGGAAGATGATGCCCTTGGCACTCACTAGCACTCACCAAGCTTTTATCAGTGTCAGTCCGGTCCAAGAGAGCCTCAGGGCAGGAGGAGGCTGTAAGTAATGCTCAGGCTTTGTAAGTAAGCTGACATAGACACAAAACCTGGATGTTTCTTATTTTCTGCCCCAAATCGTGCATTTGAAGGCTAACCTATCTGCTACATGGGCTTCTACTGGGAGGGTCAATCAATTGCTCAAAGAAGGAACAGCGATTAGAGGTTTTTCGGTGGCAGACACCCCACTCTGCTCAGCACACCTGGATAGCCTGTCCTAAGCCTGCACCCTGCTGCCCTTTGGGTGCAGGAAGGATCTCCAGGGTGGTGCTTTTCTCTGTGACAACAGGCAGGCAGATGAGAGCCCTGGGATCGCAACTGAGGCTTGGAAAAACCCAAGGCCATGCTGCAATTGTGGCGGGACACACAAAGAGCTGGCAGGAAGCTCACTCCTGCAGTCCAGAACAAGGCACGGGGACCAGATGGGGCAAGAAGGGGCAGTGATGGTGAGCTGGGGTTTTGCCAAGTTGTGCAATTTTTGTCCAGTTCCTGAAATCAGATGAGGAACTTTCACGGCTTGGAAATGCTACTATGTGCACACATCTTCCTCAGCAGAGGTGGGTCAGCTGAACTGCCTGAGCTGACTGAAAACCACAGCCATGCAAACTGGGCATGGTAGCACTTACTTTGACTTCTAGAAGGACCATTCGTACCTCCAGCAGCTCTTTCAGCATATGCCTAGGCTGGCAAGAAAAGCCTGAGTTCTCCCCGGTGATAATGAGATGTGAACCCAAGACTTCATTAACTGGCACATGATATTAGGACTTGAGAAGGCCTGAAATGATAGGTATGTGAGAGAGAGAGACGCAGAGGCTGGTGGATGCTGTCTGAAGCCTAAAGCAAAACTGGCTTGTGGTTAAAGCAGCACCTCAGGAACTCTGTGCTTGCCTCTAGTTCCACAAGTTTTTCTTGCATTGCCTTGACAAGCTCCTTTATCCAAAACCAAACACGCACCTGCCTGACTTTACCAGAACAGGGGTGGCTCTTCAAGGGAAAACTCCCTGTCAAAGGAGGTATCAGTCCCAAAGGTGTTTCTCTCCAACCTAGAAAAAAAGGCTGCTGCTGTTCTGTCTTACAGGGGGGGGGTCTGCCCACACCCCCAAACACCTACAAAGACACCTACAAAGATATCAAATCCCCTTTGGTAAGTGACACCACTGGACTCTCTTTTGGGATTGGTCTAAGAAAGTATCCAAATGACTGGAAGCAGGCATTTAAAAGAAGATTAAGAACATGCATGTGGTATTTGCTTTTAGTCTGTGACTAAACCCTGTTTTGAACCATTTCACAGTGTGTCTGAAGGTGAAAAGAGCCTTACCGTGCTGAAATAGGAGGTGAAAGTATTAGCCCGTGGTTCTTCTCTAGCCAAACTACCTGCAGGGCTCAGGCCACAACTGCCAATTCTTGTTTTCTTTGCTACAGAAATGTGTTCTGGGTTTTTAATCCTCCTTTTGGTAAATCTCTTCATATAAAGATCCTAGTGAGGTCTCAGCACAGGTCTGTACTTAATGCTGGCCAAAACACAGAGGCGGTGGTGGAGCATCTCTAATCCTACTCTCCCCCAGGAGGAATTTCTCCGCCAAACTTAGTACAAGCCATCTTGATGGAGGCACTACCTTTCCTTTGCCACAGAGACCTGGCTTTTCCTGCATGTAACTGGAGAGTTACTGACACGAGCAGATGAGCCAGACGTGGATGGGCAACTACAGGACCTGCCTGAGCCAGAAATATCATCCAGTAAACAGAGGTAGTCATGCTGCAAACAGGCCCTAATTATACATTCTGGCCATGCATTATCCAAAGCATATTAGCACATGCAATTGGTTCACACTTTTAAGCTTCCTTTGGCAACAGATTTATGATAATTAGCTTTTAACCGAGATTATATTTCTCCTTTGCATGCTCCACCCGTAGATCTCCAATGCTGTGCAATGCGGAGGTAGCACTATTTTAGAGAAATGAGAACAGAAGTGATTTGCTGAAGATCTTGCTGCAGGCTGAAGCCAGGTCGTCTAGCCCCAGAGCAAGGCCAGGCAGTTCAGCCTTGTGCCTTTGGGTATCCAGCATGTCTGTGAGGCCAAAACAATGCTCCTTGGGCCAACAACCCCTCATCCCTCTCCTCCGTTAGGTGGACGGGGAGCCGGCTTGGCCCTGCGCAGGTTAGAGCTGCTCAGATGGGCACACTGCTGACTCAGCAGTCGGGTTGTGGCAAAGTCCCCCAAAGTGTTTTTGGCGAAGGCCACAAGCAGCTGAGCTGGCCAGGAGTCGGTGCCTGCCTCTCCTTTTGGGTGAGCAAGGCTTAACCCCTGTTGAGCAACCTGAGGCTCTGCTGTTATGCAGCACGGCATCCATGTGGATTGTCCCTAAAGCGATGCTATAATGCGATTTTAGGGAGACAATCCTCTTGACCTTCTCATGCTGCAACTCACACAGCTGAATGCTGGCCGCAATCAGTGTAGCGGTTAAGACCTAAAAATACCCCCCTTTGCAAGAGGTGAACTAAGCTGTCAGGTTGATACTCTGCAAGACACAACCACAGACCAAGGAATATTGCGGGGAGAGACTGGGTCCTGTCCTTGCCAACTTGCAAGTGGCACTTGCACCGCACTCATTCAGCAGGCAGCTGTCTAAGGCTCAATCTAGACATCTCCTCAGCACATTGCATGTATTTACATATGTAAACAAGGCTGCTGGAAAATGTCCTACGCTGCATCTGCTCTTGTGCACAACAGAGCCATTGAATGGCTTAATCCACCGCAGTTTGGGGTCGCTCTTTGCTACCAAGTGAAGAGTACTGCCAGCTCAGAGCATCTCGGGCTGGTCTGTCCATGGTGGAGCTGCGTAGCCAGTGACACGCTGGCTCACGTGCAACCCCAGCACCCGGCTGGTGCATCCCACGGCAAGGCTGACCAGCTGCTCTCGTTCAACTGGGACATCTGGGCCCTGCACCTTGGGATTAGCCTGACTTAACTGCATAAAGCGGACCTCAAATTTGCAAAAAAAAGCATTATTAGCTTGATGTTGCTCCGGCTGTGGCAGCAGGGAGCCCCAGCCCTGCACGGGGAATGGCTCCAGCCTGGGAAGGTGTCCCCATGCCCAGGGAGGCTCCGCCGAGCCCACGCTGCTGGGGCCCAGCACAGCCGAGGGTGCAAACCGCACTCCGGACTTTGCAGGGACGCAGCTGCAGGGACCCCTGCCAGCAGAGCTGGGAGCGGGGAGCAGCTGGGACACAGTAGCTGCCAACATCGGCCCATGCCTGAGCTCAGTAAATGAAGTAAGACGGCTGCAGGCGATGATTTACAGCGCGTGACGTGACTTTAGCTCCCTCTGCGAGTTTCTGCCGTAGCTCAGTGCCTGCGACGGCCTCTGCGTAGGCGAAGGGAGAACCGTCGGGGCGGGGACGCGGCAGCGCGAGGGCATGAGGGGCAGATAAACAACGCACCACGCGTTCAGCTCGCCGGAGCCACTTCTGCTTGCAGGCTCGCTCGCAACCGTAGCCACGCCACGGAGGCAAAGGACGGGGCAAAACAGGAACCGGAGCGAGCTGTCTTGCAGGAAGGCGTGCAGCGCAGAAGGGCGACGTGAATTACAGGGCTGTAGCCTTTAAACGACACTCTTTTGCATGGAGATTGGGCTGCAGAGTAGCAGAGTTGGAAAGGGCCGATTTAAATTGAGCAGATGCGCTGTCGCTTCTCCTCCCCAGCCCCAGCAGTAAACAAGAGGGGAGGAAGGGCCCCGCCAGAGGCCAAGCGGGGCCGTCCGCGAAGGGGCTAGGAACAAACCCTCTCCAGCGGGCGAACGAAGCAAACCGTGCTAGGGGCAGGTCGCTCAAGAGGAATTGGAGGAAAGGTGATTAGCTCGTTGATTTCATATAAATCAAAAGCGAGAGCGTGGGATGGTAGCGAAATCAAATGTTGGATCCTCTCTCCCTCAGTTTCCTTCACTGAGCTGTTTTTAAACCACAGCTGGAAAAGCA